TTATGATCGTTCTTGGCTGCATGAACTTAGACCTTGCGTTAAGGACCGAACAACCCGCTGCACTTACGGATAAAAGTTCTATTGATGAAAACAAGGACTTTAATAAGTGGGATTGTTCAAACCGCATGAGTCTTATGATCATGAAGCGTGGAATTCCAGTAACATTCAGGGGCGCTAAGGTAACTACTGCTAATGAGTTTCTTAAGGAAATTGACAAATGCTTTGTAAAAGGCAATAATGTCGAAACTAGCACGTTTTTAGCAAACTTAATTTCACTAAAATACATTCGTAAAGATAACATAAAGGAGTACATCATAGAAATGTCTCATCTTGCTTCAAAAACTAAAGGCGCTAAAGTTTGGGCTGTCTTATGACTTGCTCGTGCATTTGGTTTTGACTTCTTCTCTTGCACAATTCAGTCAATTTAGGTTAGTTACAACTATCAAAGGGGAAGTGAACTCTTGATAAACTCATTTGGTATTGTGTGTAAGAAGAAAAAGTATAAAGCATGAGAGAACCAGAAGTACTCACTTGATAAGAACCTCTAAGGACAAGTTAAAAAATAAGGAAGTTGCATCTGATTCATTTCAAAAGAAATAGCAAAAGCTTGAAAAGGATAAAGTATTTGGCTATTATTTTTGTAAAAATCTGGGACACATAAAGTAAGATTGTACTAAATACCACGCTTGACGTGTAAACAAAATTACACTCCTCACTTTGATTTGTTTATGGTTAATTTAGTTTAAATATCATGACACATTTGATGTATAAATTATGGTGCCACTTCTTATAAGTGTGTCTATTGCGGAGTTGTATGAACTACCAAAAAGATTAGGTTAATTACATTAAGGGGAAACAAACAAGTATAAAAATATTAGATGCCAATAGAACTTCAGCCGTCTTAGAACTAATTCGCATGGATATTTGTGGGCATTTCCTTTGTCTTCTTAGAATGGTCAATAGTAATTTCAATATGGCTATCTATATCTCATCTATGAGAAATCTCAAATACTGGACATGTTCATATGCAAATGAATAATTCTCAAGAATGGATTGATGTCATGAATAAAAAAATAAAATCCATGAAAGACAATGACGTTTGGGGACTCATCACATTGCCTGAAGGTGCGAAATCCACTGGTTGTAAATTAATATTTAAATCCAAAAGGGATTCGAAGGGTGATGTAGAAAGATATAAAGTTCGTCTTGTTATAAATGACTTTACTCAAAAGGAAGGTATTTAAAGAGACTCTGTCTCCGATTTCTATGAAAGACTCTTTTAGGATTATTATTGCATTTGTGACACATTTTATCTTAAGCTACGTCAAATGATTTACAAATTAAAGAAATTCATCTATGGGTTTAAGCAAGTTTTCCGTCAATAATATCACAAATTTCATCAAATAACTATCTCATTTGGTTTTGAGATGAATACAGTTGATGAATGTGTATATCACAAGTTCGATGAGAGTAAGTATATTTTTTTATGTTACATGTCAATGACATATTACTTGCTTGCAATGATATAGGGTTATTATAAGAAAATTAAGGAATTTCTGTTATGAAATTTTGAAATGAAAAAATTTGGTGACGCCTCTTTTGTATTAAGAATACAAATACACTGAGATCGTTCTCGAGATATTTTTTGGATTATCGCAAAAGAGCTATATTTATAAAGTTCTTAAAGGATTTGAGATACAAGTATCTAAACCAAGTAATACCCGTACCACGAAAGGAGATAAGTTTAGTCTCAATCAATACCCTGAGCATAAATTTAAAGAAAAGAAAAATACAGAAAATAAACCGTGTTTCAATAGTTGGGAGTTTAATGTATGCTCATGTTTGCATAGTTTGAATATGGCATTCATTGTTTGAATGTTATGTAGATATTTAAGTAATTCTGATATGGATATTTGGAATGAAACTAATTAGGTTATTCGGTATTTACATAAAATTAAGGATTGCACGATCACATTCAGAAAAATCAAACCAATTGAAAATCATTGGATATTTTGATTTTGATCATGGAATATAAATGTAAAATATTGTCACTTTACTGCATATTTTAGATTGAATTGAAAGATCACTTAAGTTATTCTGTAACAATGGCAATCATGTATTCTAATAAGAGTTTGACGATGTTAAAGCTTATAAGCATTAAGTTCTTAGTTGTTGAGGAAAGAATTCAGAGTATTTAGATTTCTATGGAATATATTAGGACAAACTCTATAATTGCGGATCCGCTTATTAAGGGACTATCACCCAAGGATTTTCATTTGTGACTTTTCATGATATGCCATTTTAGTCGGAGTTTGTATTCGAATGTTGTCTGTTTTAGACATGTTTTTATTCGTGAATATTCGATTTATTTTTGAAATAAAGTATTCAGTTCAGTTTCACTTTGATTAAAGTTTATAGTTTATCTCATTAAAGAATAAGGTAGAACCAGTTAAAAATAGGCATGTTTGGATCACCTTGCATTTNGACCAGTTGGAAATAGGCATGTTTAGATCACATTACATGTAATTTCCATGCTACACATCCACATTTGATCTATGTCATTTGATTGTATTGATATACGTGACCATTGATGGGTTTAGTTATGTTACTTATAACGAAGACCGCTTTGATCCAATGTTGATATAATCAATGGACGAGATTGTTCGGAAATGATTTTGGTTATCAAAGTTTTGACGTCATAAGGTTATACACATTTATCAGATAACATATGTGGTCCATTTGTTGAGTTTATTAATTTGTCGTGTGGGCTTACATATTTAATTAATTGCGTATAAGATTATCTTAGAGTTGAGCTCAATTAAAGTGATCTAATAAAGAATTAAATTCTTGGATTTATGGCATATAAATTAAGTGTTGGACTGGATTATATGTGTAGAAATCAGATTCCTTTAGAATTGTATTTAATGATGGGCAAAATACTTATGAATATATATAGAGTTATGATCCCCCAATTTATATGTGATTCTCATTCTTTATATCATCCTATCAATACAAGAATACAAGAGAAAATATATTGAAGAGGAAGATCTAAAACCCACAATTAAGATCAACAATCAAGAGAAAGAAATTCAAGAATAAAGAATATGGATCAAGAAGCAAAATTAAGAACAAGAATTAAAGAATCAAATGAAGCAAAATTCAAGATTAAAAGGGAAGAACCTAAACAAGAAAAGATTATAGTTCAAGTTTCAAGATCTGAAATCAAAATTCAGTAATAAAGAACAATTCTCAAAGAATAAAGGTATGTTCCGCATTATTACTTTTCTTGATGATTTGACACGAATGATTTTGGCAATAACGGAATTTAGATTTTTAAGTTCTAAAGTTTCTAGTTTTATAAAGTTAAAAGTTCATAAAATTTCAACATACATAAAGTTGTTTGTATAGAAACCTAATCCCGAAAGTATCCTTATAATACCATACACTCCCAACTCATCTACCTCTCTTGTAGCCACCCATGTACAAGAATATGAGCCACATAATCAAAATGTACGCTTCTTGCAAGACGACTTATAAATTAGAGCGATTTCTTCGTAATTAGGATTTTTTATAATCTCACTTATGTGTGTGTGTGTGTGTGGGGTATCGACTTAAATAAAATGATCAGACCAAACAAAACAATATTATGCTCTTCTTTTGCCAATCAGGAAAGTTGGTTTAGGTTTGTAAATGTTTCAAGAACTGGTAGAGTCATGTTCTTTGCATTAAAATAAACTGATGCGCGGATCCAATTTCGTGGTCCCAGAAAAAGAATTTCACACTCTTCCTTTCGAGAAAAAAGAGATCAATAAAGATATATTAATTGCATTTTTCTCCATGAGTCCGGAAAAAGCTTGTAACAAACCTCAACAAACTATAACCTTTGAAATTAGGTGTTCCCAAGGTTCAAAAAATGCTCTCAACCTGCTTTATTCATCTAAAAACACAACCTTTGTGGATAATTCTTCTCTCTCTTCTAGGTTTTCTCTCTATCATCAAGAACACCATTTTCCTTCTCAAATGGATCTTCATAACATTTTTCAGAAAACCCAAAAATCTCAAGAGCTATGGATCATGGGCACTCATCACTGGCTCAACTGATGGCATAGGCAAAGCTTTTGCTTTCCAGCTTGCCAAAAAAGGTCTAAACCTAATACTAGTAAGCAGAAACTTGAGCAAACTCAAAAATGTGAGTAATGAAATTCAAGCCAAATATCCCAATACACTGACCAAGATTTTCCAAATCGACTTTTCGGGCCCAAATATTTCAGATGGGATTCTTGAAATGAAAGAGGACATTAAGGGTTTGGATGTTGGGGTTTTAATCAATAATGTTGGAATTACATATCCATCAGCAATGTTTTTTCATGAAGTGGATGAAGAAATTTGGATGAATTTAGTGAGAGTTAATGTGAAGGGTACAAGTTTGATAACAAGAGGTATTATAGAAGAAATGGTTGCAAGGAAGAAAGGTGCAATTGTTAATATTGGTTCTGGTGCTTCCATTGTTGTACCTTCTCATCCTCTTTATGCCATCTATGCTGCTACCAAAGCGTAAGCTCCCTACCCCCCCCCCCCCCCCCCTCTTTTCTCTATATCTCACCTGCTATAACTTGTTCACTTTTCATGCCCACAAATATATTACAATAATTTCGGTGTTATGGTTGATGTGGTGAATTGGACTATTAATAAAGGAAGACAAGTTAAAACCATTTTCTTTTGTCCCGTACAATATATCAAAAACGTCCATAGTCTTGAGATTCCATCTTAGATAGTCAACCTTGTTATGAACAATCAAGAGATGGTGATTGGTGGGGATTAAATTTAGATTTTTAGTAGATTGTGATAGAAGTTTTTGAAATGTGTGGTTGAAAAGTTGTGGGATCCATAAAAGATGTGGTTTAATATTGATTATTTGACTTTGATTTGAATTAAAATCAGATTTTAATCCAAACCAAATAGGGGCTTAATATTATGTCGGAGTCCCAAAAGTTAAAATTATCGAATTCAATTCATCAAACGCTTAAATGAATATTCGGATTTTAAGATTGACATCCTCAAATGAATCATCATTTTGTATGGTCATGTTAGTTAAAGATACAATGGGACTGGCCATTAAATGATAGATCAAATGAATCATCATTTTGTATGGTCATGTCAGTCTATGTGGCAAATACATGACATTAAATGATAGACTCATTTAAATACAAGTCACATGACTCATTTAATTCAATCTATCATTTAATATCATGTATTTGCCACATAAACTGTGGCTTAACCCAAATAGGGATGAATAATATTATTCTTTTCTTAATTACAAAAATAATATGTATCAGACGATGAATATACTAATTTAATATGAATGAAATAGAACGTGTTAAATATATAAATATCCTTTAGTGTTTTTCTCGACTTTAATAATTTAAATTTTTAATTGCAATTGTTCAACCAAGATTGCCTAAATTCATATAGCATTTGAACATTGTAAATTGTAACTTAGTTAATATAAAATTACATTGTTGCTATATATCTTTCAAATTAAATATTTATTTTTATATGAAATAAAATTGAGTTGCAGGTACATTGATCAGTTGTCCAGATGCTTGTACGTGGAATACAAACACTACGGCATAGATGTCCAATGTCAGGTATACAATTGTTCAATCTAAACTTATTTGATAAAACGTATCTACTTTTCAAGGGGTCAAACTTCAATTTTAACTATATATTGCATGAGATTTACAACTTTTATCAATTTCTCAACCACACAAATTTTCTAAAACTTTTATCAAAATCTTTGTCAAATAACCCTTCAATTTATAAGAACCTTCCGATTTGGTTACTGAAGTTAGTCAAGGATATTAAACATTTATTACAATTGATTATCCATGCACGCCATCATAAACTAGTTGACAAACTACTAAACTATCACGCTCTATAGACGAGGTGATCAAAATCTAAATAAAATAAATTTTAGTTATTATTAGCGCCCGTTTGACCCCCATTATTCCCCATTAAATTATAATTTATTTTTCTCTATTTTCTTACAATCTCCAATAAAATAATATTACACGTAAATCCAAAAACTTTTTATTTTTTTTAACCACACATTCTTCAAAAAATTATTATTCCTCTCATTATAATATGGAATAATGGGGGCCAAACGGGCACAAGTTTAGAAGTTCAGTCTTTAAGAGGCCAATGTTTTTAAAAGTAGCACAAGTCGTTATATGTAGTATATTCATTTAATCATATATTGAATTTTATCCTTAATACTGATACGAATCTCAGAATCCAATTGTTCATTTGAGATTTAAACGAATTGATTTGTTAATTTGAGTTGATGAACTCTGATACCATATTTTTATAAGGAATACATCTTAAAATGACAGCATTACTATAAATAATCAAAACCGTTTAAACTGTCCTATGTATATTTATTTAATCTTTATTCCAAGTGAAATTTTATCCTTAAACTGTCGTCTTCCAATATCAATAGATTAAGTGTTTCCCTCATTGATCAGGTGCCATTATATGTATCAACCAAAATGGCTTCAAAGGTTGCATTTGTAGAGAAACCATCAATTTTCATACCATCAGCCGGAAAATATGTGGAAAGTGCAATTAAGAGTATAGGATATGAAGCACGATGTACACCATACTGGGGACATTCAATTCAATGGTGGTTTGCCTCCATTTTGCCTAATGCTGTTCTTGATGCATGGCGACTATCCACTGGAATCCATAGACGAATGGGATAATCACTGATTAAAGGTTTCGTCTCTCGTTATATGGTTCTTTATGAAAGGATTTGATGATGGTCTTGGGAGTATTAAATGCCATTATAAAGTAATATTAATCTTCTACTTTTAAAGATCGTTATGGATGACTACTCTTTTCGACTTTTATGTCAAAAGTTTTCACCCGATGGACTTCGAGTTAAACAAAAGCAAAATCCTTTTATGAAGAGTTTTATGGTAAAGAATATTAAGAACAAACAATATACATAAAGCTCAATATAACCTTTTGATATGCATACAGATATCCAGGATAAATCCTACTAAAACCAGAAGCAGAATATATATATGTATGTATGTATGTAACCCATATAAAGATTGATAACCTTTCTCAATCTGATCTCATCCTATTGATCTGGTTCAAAGCCGGTTGCAAAATGTTGTAAAGCACCCAAAGAATGGCAGTAGTGACCACAAACAGCAAGAGCTGGCCTCTGCTGTCACTTGTGGCAGCATCCGCAATCATGACCATTTCGCTGGCAGATGCCTCTGGCGGGTGCATGAAACTCAAGCCCGTCAGTCCACCTAGCCCAAGCCCGACGACCACCCCTTTCACACTCCTCATTTTGTTAATCTGGTTAAGAGCAGGTTGAAGAATGTTGAAAAGAACCCAAGCTATGGCTGGAATGATAGGTAGTAGAAGGGCAAGTCCCCGGTTATCACCTTCGGCTATTTCAGCAACTTGTTGGGCAGCAAAGGCAGCATCAGAGGAGCTGAGTGTGGAGAATATGACTCCGGCAAGAGTAGTTCCGGCCAGGCTCGAGACTCCTAATGGCTTCGAGGTGATGGTGATGAGCCCTTTTGGAAGGTTTCGTATGGAGAGAGGAGAGATTGGTTTCTTGGAGGGGTTAAAAGCACCCTTTGTATTGGCGTTGAGGCATTTGGCATTGATCATAGCCATTGTAGTCATTGTAGTTGCCATTGGTGTTCAAGTTTTGTTTGGCTAAATGCTGAAAGGTTTGCAGGTGAACAAACCTGACTTCAATTTTGTGCTTGCTACAATGGACAAACTGAGAAAAAATGAGGTCCAATGGGATTGCGAATTTTGGATTGTTTTCTTATCCAAAGCCTGTGATTGGAGGGATATAGACCTCATATTAGATACCCAACTAGGTTTCTTATCTTTTTAGGCATAAAGCATCCTAAAAAATTTCATGGTACATAAATAGACTACAAACTTGTGCGTGGGCGCGTGTCAGACAGAATATATAATGGTCAAGCATTTCTTGCATAATTAAAGAGTAAACAAGATCATCAATCCATCAAACAGAAAAATTCATTACAAAAACAAAGCCACTCGAGGAATTCATCAAAGGAATGTATCGACTCAAACTGTGTCCCTGATGTTCAAGCAAGCTATGTAGCTTACACAATTTTTTTAGACCAAGCAAAATATTTTGTAGAAAATATCAGATAATTTAATATTCAGATGATGAGATAACATCATCAATCTTTAGAATCATTTTAACAACTTGAGTTGCTAGAAGAATCTGCTGTTGTTTCCCAATCAATGTCTCAAAGACGTCTTGCTCACGCATATCATTAGTTCCAACATCATTGCAATCGATACCGTAGTGGTGGTTGTTTTCCTGGATAAAAAATTCCCGATCATTTGAGACAAATGAACACCTAAAACATCAACAAGAAAAGGGCCAAAGGAACGGGAAAATTGCACCATTGCATTTTACAAAGATTTGAAGAGCATCTGAATTTCAGTCACATTGGGATTAATGGTGCAACATTTAAGACCATCTTGCCCCTTTCTTAAGTTTTGGACCTACTTGCTACTAGGGATAGGCCAGGACCAATGGTGCAAATTTCCCATAGAATAAAAGAAACAGAAAGACTTGTTTTGGTCCTCAAATCACAGAGAAGTTGCAAAAATGTCAAGATTACCTTAATCTGTTGAGATTTAACAGCAGAAAGAGTTTCGATGGGTTGGAGACCACTATTCTCTGCTAGAGCCATCGGAATTGCATCTAATGCATCTGCAAATGCCCTAATTGCATACTGCAGACAGAATTAACCTTTTAGAATATAAGTTGAAAGTAATAGGACAGAAGGAAATTTAGCATATTACCTGCTCAACTCCTGGGTGTTTATCAGCAGCTGCTTCGACAGCAATTGAGCAAGAAATCTCGGCTGATCCACCACCATATACTATGGAGTTGTTGCGAATAAGATTCCGAGCAACACATAAAGCATCATGAAGGCTGCGTTTCGTTTCCTCTATCATCATCTTGTTACCTAATGCATCATCAAGAACAATCTGTTTCAAACTTCTATGTGCATGGAATTATTATTTCCCATTCCTCCTATCTTGCGCTATTTTTTCTTTCATTTTCTCAGAGTTACTCAGTGTAGTTTGAAAATTACAGTGCAGGATACTTTTATTTCAAAACCACGTGAAAAATTATGCTACTATTCAACACAAAACCGCCAAAAAAAACAAAAAATAGAAACAAACACATCAAGAACAATGCTCAGTGAAGAAATAAGATAAAATCAACCTACCACCACGTATGAATATGGTTACAGCCCTTGAATTTGCACAATGTTCAATGTATATCATTCGATCTTTAGTAGTACCAAATGCTCTCTCTCGAACCAAACCAGCCTGGGGTGCATAAACAATCATCAAGAATAAAACTTATTATGACCTTCTACGCAGTAGCATGCAAAAGCAAACAGAGTTTTATAGACAATTTGTAAATATAAACACAAGGCTAGCATTACAGAGAGGAAACATTACTCTGCCTAGTTTTTCTGGGGTCAACTCTTGAAACCTTGGCACAATCCTCCCACCTAAACACCAAAGTAGAGAAACACAGGCAATTATAATCCAAAATGTATTAACGGTACCGAAACAGACAAATCTTATCACTACAAAATTGCAATATTATACAAACCTGTGGCAATGGCTATCAGCTCTAACTCAACACCACCAACCCATCGAACAGCAGGCAAGTTTCTGTGCATCAGTAAGTGATTTGCCTCATCATCAAAACCCCATTGGCAGATAACCAAGGTAGCACCAACATCCTATACCACCAAAAGATTGTAAGGAAAATGCAGAGAACCATATACGTATAAATATCACTTCACTTGACATAGTCAGCAAAATCCCCTAGAGTAGAAACAACAATCTTCCAGAGGATAAGGATGACTTGAAGAGGTAATTTAAAAAGAAAAACACGGAAGTCCTTCACCTTGCATTTTTGAACCATGTCATCAAAGTACTTCTGCTCTTGTTGGCGTAGCGTTTGGAATTTTTCAACTGTATCAATGTCAACCTTATGCTTAGTCTTTGGCTTCGGTGGCTCAAAAGGACAAGTCAAAATGGCAATTTTTGCATCCTCAATCTGCTTTGGCATTTGTGGATGACTCATATCTTTGTCGACAACAATCCCATATATCAGTTCAGTATCCTCCAACTTTCCACCTACTTTCCCTTCTACTTTAATTAGATCTAAGTTAACATCCTTCCTCTCTAAATCCGCAACAGCTAGCACTGCTTTGACAGCAATCTCTGCCAAACTACGCTTGCATCTATTTACACTGCGTACGAAGTTGAAGACATCAAAACAAGTACACAATAAATGGAATCAGTTGTAATGTTAACATATGCCATTCTATAGCAAATCAAAAGAAATAATTTTGCAAGGCACGAGTGCTAGAAGCATATCATAAGTGCTTCAAAAATAAAGCAACAAAAGATATACCCCATATAATTGCCCACCCTACCAACCTGTTATAGCAAATAATAAACAGAAACATTTTTATATGCCTTTTTGGATTGTATGCCAGGAACCAAGGTAGAGCATCCTACAATAATATGGAGGTAGGGGAAGCATGATCAAATTTTTGCATAAGAATTGGCACCTACATCTTCGATGATAAAGTAGTCATGCAAGGTTGAATCAGAGGTTCTATATTTGAAGCATCAAATTCGAATTTATTGGATACATTCTCCAGATGTTCAAAAGCTATCCTAGAAGCCATTTCATATCCTTCCGCAATACGGATAGGATGAATACCACGTTCTAATAACTTCTCAGCTTGTTCTAGAAGTGAACCAGCCATGACAACAACTCCAGTTGTTCCATCTCCAATTTCATAGTCTTGACTTCGTGATAATTCAACCATTAGCTTCGCAATCTGATTGTCAACATCCATCTGCTCCAAGATTGTCGCACCATCATTCGCTAACAAAACAACAAGATGTAAGGAATAACTTCGCTAAAGTAAGAAACATTCAGAACATGTTCTGCAACTACAACATTGTAGATTTTCACAAATGAGAAGCACACTGTTGATCCACTTAATCAAAAATCTTAATTTTTGTTAGAGAATGCCACATATACATCATTTTACTATTATCACGTGAAACAGACCAGCAACTTCGAGCATAATCCCATTATTCATTGCAATTTATCCTGAAACATATGAACAACTCTAAGAACTTTGTCTACTGTCCATGAATAAGTAGTAAAAAAATTTCATCTTCAAACAAAAAGGATATCCATAATGCTTTCAGTTATTCTATTTGTTTCAAACTTTTCTCTTGATGCTATAATATACATCGTCTATTTTTCACTACCTTCACAAGTTTTAATAAGCCAAAATTTATTTCAGTAAAGTTAAAGGCAAAACTAAAACTAGATTTTCAATTTTTAGTGTCCTAATGTCCATAGAAATACATCTTGCTAAGGAAATAATTTCAACCTTCTATTTACATACAGTAGAAAGAATAGCACCAATCTTCAACACACGCAATATGATAAATCATAATCTCCCTAAAGTAAAGTACGCATACTAATATATATATCAATTTACACATATATACATCAGAAGGAAATGAAGTGAGCATACTGATGGTGACTTCACCGTCGGGGCTCTGGAGCATCTTGTCCATGCCTTTGGGTCCGAGTGAGGTCCGGAGGATTCGAGCCACCGCTTTTCCGGCGGCAATGTTGGCCTTCTGCGCATCCAGACCTCGCAACCGAGTCTTCTGCTCCTGCTCCTTCAGTATAATGAACGGCCGACCAAATTCATCAAATGCCAACGCCATTTTGTCCGGTTGTTGTTCGGAGATGGGTCAAGATCGGATCTTTCTACTGAGATTTGGAAACGAAGAGCAGAGGGGTGAGGGTTTTGAGAATGGGGTTTTGCCCTAATAGTAGGAACCTTATATTGTACACCTTTTTCGTTGTTTAGCAACACACTATTTTTATTTTTTTTTATCGATATAATAAAACACATACTTGAGGCTGAGCTAAAACTTTAAGATAAATAGCACTTGGAGTCCCGAACCTTTTATCCTTTTGATTGATTTGCTAAACTTTTTTATTTCTAACATATCAGGTCCTAACCTATAAATTTTTTGCAACAGAGGTTCTCGTGATGGAACCGTCACTATTAAAATCTTTTGTTTAAGAAGACCATTGTACCCCAGTTTTTAAGAAGAATAATGCTGGTTGTACATTGTATGTTGACAAAATGGGTTACACTAATTCAAAATGTGATGTGTGTTGCATACTAGGGATGGCAATTCGAATTGTTAAAATTGAAAATTGCAGTTAATCGAACTGAATGGGGCGAAAAAAAATTGAACCGATGGTGCAATGAGATAGTTATGGTTTTGATTTTAATGATCCGGTTCGGAGTGGGGCAGATATGATATTTAACGATGGTGCCCCGCCCCGAATCGATTACTCATTAAAAAAAATTAATTGGGCAATTGGACTTTTCATTATTCTTTCCAAAATTAATTGGGTAATTTTTACAATTGGGCTTCCCCAAAATTCTGACCCAATTAACATTACTAGTATACTCTTAACTCAATAACATAACTCTAACCCTACACGTTAAAATTGAAAATTGGAAACCAAACTTACAAAACACTCGTCCACTCAACTAATG